TTATTATTATTATTATTATTATTATTATTATTATTATTATTATTATTATTATTATTATTATTATTATTATTATTATTATTATTATTATTTATTATTGTTATTGTTATTGTTATTGTTATTGTTATTGTTATTGTTATTGTTATTGTTATTGTTATTATTATTGTTATTGTTATTGTTATTGTTATTGTTATTGTTATTGTTATTGTTATTGTTATTGTTATTATTATTATTATTGTTATTGTTATTATTATTATTATTATTATTATTATTATTATTATTATTGTTATTGTTATTGTTATTGTTATTGTTATTATTGTTATTGTTATTATTATATTATTATTATTATTATTATTATTATTATTATTGTTATTGTTATTGTTATTGTTATTGTTATTGTTATTGTTATTGTTATTGTTATTGTTATTGTTATTGTTATTGTTATTGTTATTGTTATTATTATTATTATTATTATTATTATTATTATTATTATCATTATTATTGCCATTATTATTAACAGAAATCAAATAAATAACATCAATACACCAAATAAACAATCTTACATTGCTTATCCGAGGTAGAGGAGACGTAAACAAACAGATCAAATCAATAAAAAATCAAACAAATTACATCCATACACCAAATAAACCATCCAATAAACAAATAAGATCAATAAATAACACCAATACACCAAATAAACCATCTTACATTAGCGAATCCGAGATAGAAAAAAATGTAAACAAACAAAATCTCACATTGCTTATCCGAGGTAGAAGAGACGTAAACAAATCATAAAAAAATCATACAAATTACATCCATACGCCAAATAAACCATCCAATAAACAAATAAAATCAATAAATAACACCAATACACCAAATAAACAATCTTACATTAGCGAATCCGAGATAGAAAAAAATGTAAACAAACAAATATAAAATCAATAAATAGCATTAATACACCAAATAAACAAGCGTAAACAAACAAATCAAATCATAAAAATCAAACAAATTAAAATAAACCAAATAAACCATCTCACATTAGCGAATCCGAGATAGAAAAATGTAAACAAACAAATAAAATCAATAAACAGCATTAATACACCAAATAAAAACAAACGTAAACAAACAAACAAAATCTCACATTGCTTATCCGAGGTAGAAAAAACGTAAACAAACAAACCAAATCATAAAAAACATACAAATTACATCCATTCACCAAATAAACCATCAAATAAACACATAAAATCAATAAATAACACCAATACACCAATAAACAATCTCGCATAGCGAATCCGAGATAGAAAAAATGTAAACAAACAAATAAAATCTCCCATTGCTTATCCGAGGTAGAAGAAACGTAAACAAATCATAAAAAACATACAAATTACATCCACACACCAAATAAACCATCAAATAAACAAATAAAATCAATAAATAACACCAATACACCAAATAAACCATCTCACATTAGCGAATCCGAGATAGAAAAAATGTAAACAAATATAAAATCAATAAATAGCATTAATACACCAAATAAACAAACGTAAACAAACAAATCAAATCATAAATATCAAACAAATTAAAAACAGTACACCAATAAACAATCTCACATAGCGAATCCGAGATAGAAAAAATGTAAACAAATAAAATCTCCCATTGCTTATCCGAGTAGAGAAGAGACGTAAACAAATCATAAAAAATCAAACAAATTACATCCACACACCAAATAAACCATCAAATAAACAAATAAGATCAATAAATAACACCAATACACCAAATAAACCATCTTACATTAGCGAATCCGAGATAGAAAAAAATGTAAACAAACAAACAAAATCTCACATTGCTTATCCGAGGTAGAAGAAACGTAAACAAACAGATCAAATCATTCAAAAAATCATACAAATTACATCCATACACCAAATAAACCATCAAATAAACAAATAAAATCAATAAATAACACCAATACACCAAATAAACCATCTTACATCAGCGAATCCGAGATAGAAAAAATGTAAACAAATATAAAATCAATAAACAGCATTAATACACCAAATAAACAAGCGTAAACAAACAAATCAAATCATAAAAATCAAACAAATTAAACCAATACACCAAATAAACCATCTTACATTAGCGAATCCGAGATAGAAAAAAATGTAAACAAACAAACAAAATCTCACATTGCTTATCCGAGGTAGAAGAGACGTAAACAAATCATAAAAAAAATCATACAAATTACATCCATACACCAAATAAACCATCCAATAAACAAATAAAATCAATAAATAACACCAATACACCAAATAAACCATCTTACATTAGCGAATTCGAGATAGAAAAAAATGTAAACAAACAAATAAAATCATAAAAATAATCATACAAATTACATCCATACACCAAATAAACAAATAAGATCAATAAATAACACCAATACACCAAATAAACCATCTTACATTAGCGAATCCGAGGTAGAAAAGATGGTCGGGTGTGAATTCGTCGAGCCCGGGAAGGCGCGGTTCCTCCCCGTAGCGTTCGACATACAGTTGGTAGGCTTTATAGGCCTCTCGAATGCCGCCGTTGTCAGCTATGTTCTCGCCTTCCGTTTGCACGCCGTTCACCTGTTGGGAGGTGTGAGGTTTTGTTTAGTTGTATTGGGTTGTTGTTGTTAGTTTTACTGTTTTTTGTTTGGGGGGGGGGGGAGGGGTGTTATGAATGGTTTTTGGGTTGTTTTTAAATCTTCGTGGAAAGGTGAGGTGAGGTTTTATTAATTTATATTGGTTGTTATTGTTATCATTACTATTGTTTTGGGGAGGGGTATTATGAATGTTTTTGGGTTGTTTTTAAAGCTTCGTGGAAAGGTGAGATGAGGTTTTATTTATTTATATTGGTTGTTATTGTTGTTATTATTACTGTTTTTTAAGGGGGAAGGGGTGTTATGAATGTTATTAGGTTCTTTTTTAAAGCTCCGTGGAAAGGTGAGATTCGGTTTTATTTATTGATTGTGGTTGTTATTGTTATTTATTACTTTTTTTTTTGGGGGGAGGGGTATTATAATTGTGTTTGTGTTGTTTTCAAAGTTTTTAAAGCTTCGTGGAATGGTGAAGTTCGTGTATAGGAGTTGTTCGCTATGAGAGCCAGTAACGGTATGAAAGAAAGTAATTTTTTTAGCGGTGCAAGTCAAGCTGGAGGCTTTCAACGTGGTTTTAGTGATTGATAGAAAATACCGATGGTTATTTCTCCTTTTTTCCATATTTGTATTCAGTCATAGAGAATATATTCAATCATGGTAGAGAGAGAGAGAGAGAGGAGAGAGAGAGGAGAGAGATAGATAGACAGAGAGAGGAGATAGATAGACAGAGAGAGAGAGATAGATAGACAGAGAGAGAGAGAGAAGGAGAGAGAGAGAGAGAGAGAGAGAGAGAGGAGAGAGAGAGAGAGAGAGAGAGAGAGAGAGAGAGAGAGAGAGAGAGAGAGAGAAAGGGAAAGAGAGAGAGAGAGAAAGGGAGAGGAGAGAGAGAGAGAGGTGTTTGTAATTTCATGACACTAATTTGTTATATAAAGAAAAAGCGACTGTTTTCCCCCCATTACCGACCGAGATGTTCAAGCCGGCTTCGATGAGTTCAGGAGGAATAAAGCCATTGTATTGGTCGACGAAGCACTTGGCACGCTCTTCATAAGCCGCAATGGTCTCGTCGCTCCACCACTGAACCAGGTTTCCTTGCTTGTCGAAGAGACGCCCTGTCAAAGAAAATATTGCTGTTTATCACTATTTCGAAACAAATACGAAATTGAGTCACGTAAAATGAAAGATATGAAATCGTTTTTATTGTGGGAATCCAACCGGACGCACAGGAACAAGTTAAATGTAAATATTAATCGTTTCAGTCAATGGGTCAGTCTTGTTTGTATAGAATAAGATGGCTAAAATTGAATCCGTTTTTCCTATCACTTTATATCTTATTCATCCTTCGTCGCTTTATCATTATCACTTGACCCTGTCTTCACACACATCCAAGTGGATATCTGGAACAAAATCTGTAGAGGAACATGCATTGCAGACCTTGAATCTTGCAATACTGCTTTTGAATCCTGTACCCCTCTTACCTTGACCCTCTCCATCCCGACCTTATCACCCTTCCCTCCTTCCTGACCTTACCCCTCTCCTTCCCTCCTCCCAATCTTATCTCCTTCCCCTCCCTCCTGACTTATCCCTGCCCTTCCCCCCTCTTGCCCTTACCTCTCCCTTCCCCCTCCTGCCCTTACCTCTCCCCTCCCCCCCTCCTGCCATTACCCTTCCCCACTTCTGCCCTTATCTCCTTCCCACCCTCCCGACCTTACCCCTTCCCCTCTCCTACCCTTACCCCCTTCCCCTCCTGCCCTTACCCTCTCTTTCCCCCTCCCAACCTTACCCTCCCCTCCCTCTCCTGACCTACCCTCCCCTCCCCCCAACCTAATCCACTTCCCCCTTCTACACCAACTTTAACCCAGCAAACAGATGCCAGTCCTCCCTCGCAATATCCCCGACAACGAACAACCTCATCCCCCCCTCTTGCTCTTACCCCTTCTCTTCCCTCCTCCCTCCTGCCCTTACCCCTCCCCCTCCTTCCCTCCTGCCTTAACCCCCCGCCCTTCCCCTTCCACATCCTTTTTAACCCAACACACAGATGCCAGTCCTCCCTCCCGATCCCCCTCCTGCCCTTACCCCTCCCCTCCCCTCCCTCCTGCCTTAACCCCTCCCGCCTTCCCCCTTCTACATCCTTTTTAACCCCAACACACAGATGCCAGTCCTCCCTCCCTCTCTCCCTCCCTCTCTCCCTCCCTCTCTCCCTCCCTCTCTCCCTCCCTCTCTCCCTCCCTCTCTCCCTCCGATCTCCTCCCGATCCACCAAGAGCCGAGTCACCTGTGTTATCGAAGCCGTGGGTCATCTCGTGACCTATGACCATGCCGATGCCCCCGTAGTTGAGGGCGGCGAGGGTGTTGTGGGCGTAGAAGGGCGTCTGGAGGATCCCGGCGAGGATGGCTGGAAGGAGATAAAGGAAGATTAGAAGAAGAGATGGAGATAATGGATGATAAAGGAAGGGGAAAGGAAGATAAGAAGAAGAGAGATGGAGATAATGGATGATAAAAGAAGGGGAGAGGGTTAAAAAGAAGAGAGATGGAGATAAAAGAAGATAAAGAAGAGATGAGATAATTGGATGATAAAAAGGGGAAAGGAAGATAAGAAGAAGAGAGATGGAGATAATGGATGATAAAAGAAGGGGAAAGGGTAAAAAAAGAAGAGAGATGGAGATAATGGAAGGAGATAAAGGAAGATAAGAAGAAGAGATAAGATAATGGATGATAAAAAGGGGAAAGGAAGATAAGAAGAGAGATAGAGATAATGGATGATAAAAGTAGAGGAAAGGGTAAAAAAAGAAGAGAGATGGAGATAATGGAAGGAGGTAAAGGAAGATAATTAGAGGAGATGAGATAATGGATGATAAAAGAAGGGGAAAGGAAGATAAGAAAGAGAGATAGAGATAATGGATGATAAAAGAAGGGGAAAGGGTAAAAAGAAGAGAGATGGAGATAATGGAAGAAGATAAAGGAAGATAATTAGAAGAGATGAGATAATGGATGATAAAAGAAGGGGAAAGGTGAAAAAAAAGAGAGATGGAGATAATGGAAGGATATAAAAGAAGATAATAGGAAGAGATGAGATAACGGATGATAAAAGAAGGGGAATGGGTAAAAAAGAAGAGAGGTGGAGATAATGGAGGGAGATAAAGAAAGATAATTAGAAGAGATGAGATAATGGATGATAAAATAAGGGGAAAGGGTAAAAAAGAAGAGAGATGGAGATAAAGGAAGAGAATTAGAAGAGATGAGATAATGGATGATAAAAGACGGGGAAAGAATAAGAAAAGAGGTGAGATAATGGAAGGTGATAAAAGAAAGGAGAAAGGGTAAGTGAAACGGAAGGAAAATATGATTTTTGAAAAGTATCAAGTATATACAATAAGAATTTAGACGTATAAAAGAATAACAAATACGTAATAATTGAACAAAAGCGAAAAAGAAAAAAGTTGCAAGGAAAAAAAAAGATTAAAAGATTAGTGTCTAACAACTGATATCTTAAATAATCACTAAAAAATCAAATATCCATATGAAACTACGAAAATAAATATTATGATAAAGAAGAGGAAGTAATTGAGTGGAAAAGCAGAAAGAGATCTCAACAAGAGATATACAAAATACCTTTAAATAATCCTCGAAACTAAATCTAAAAAAAAAAAAAAAAAAAAAAAAAAAAAAAAAAATCTGATAATATTCGAATATGCAGTGACATTCATCGAATTAAATTAAAATCGAATTAACATTAAGGAAAGATATTATGTTAACGATAGAATAAAATAACTCACTGATTGTATTTTCCTGAGGGTTATAGAATGCGTTGACAACCGTCGGAGGGAAAAGGAATCTGTTGGAATAAGAACAGTGTCGAATGAGCTTTGAGAGAGAGAGGATGAGGGAGCGAGAGAGAGAGAGAAAGAGAGAGGGAGAAAGAGAGAGGGTGAGGAAGAGAGAGAGAGAAAGAGAGAGGGAAGAGAGAGAGAGAGATAGAAAGAGAGAGGATGAAGGAGAGAAAAGAGAGAGAGAGAGATAACAAAGAGAGAGGGAGTGTAGAGTGAGAAAGAGAGGGACTGAGAGAGAAAGAGAGAGAGAGGAGGGAGGGGAGGGAGAGAGAGGAGAAACGAAGAGAGAGAGGGTGATGGAGAGAGAGAGAAGAGAGAGAGAGAGGGTGAGGTAGAGAGAGAGAGAGAGGGAAAAGAGATATAACAAAGAGAGAGGGAGTGGTAAGAGTGAGAAAGAGAGGGGCTGAGAGAGAGAGAGGAGAGGGAGAGGGAGGAGAGAGAGAGAGAGAGAGAGAGAGACAGACAGACAGACAGACAGACAGACAGACAGACAGACAGACAGACAGACAGACAGACAGACAGAGAGACAGCGAGAGACAGAGAAAGAGATATAACAAAGAGAGAGGGAGAGGCAGAGAGAGAAAGAGAGGGGCTGAGAGAGAGACAGAGAGAGAGAAGAGAGAGAGAGAGACAGAGAGAGAGAGGGTGAGAGAGAGAGACAGAGACAGAGACAGAGAGACAGAAAAAATTAGACAGACAAACATATAAAGAAAAAAAAATCTTACGCATCGACAAGAAACCTCAAAAAACCTACTAATTTCCTTATATCCACATAAAATCCATCTAAATATTAATTCAGTTGACAGTTAATCATCTAATGCAATATTCGACATCCACAAACAACAAACTTTTTAAAAATTATCCTTATTTTCGTCCACTTACGAATGCACAGGCACTTCTCTCAGCGAAGCGAGCGAATTCCTGTCGAACCAGTTGCCAATTGCCAATAAATTATCGTATTCCTTTCCGGATAATATTTCCAGCTGTGAAAGGGATTGTGAATATATAAATCGATAAGAATCAAGTATTAGCTGATAATGGTAAT